GTCTCGAACGCACCGCGGTTCCCGTCTTGACTGTTCCGGCGGGGCAGACGTGCACGATTGCATCGGCGGCCGTCTCGAGCGCGTGTGCAGCGAGTGATGGCGGCATGCAGTGGCGAGCAATGGAGACGAGGCCTCGTTGGGACAGGCCGCGTCCGGGCACGAGCTTGATCGGAGGCATCGACACGTGCAAGAGGGTACCCGTCCGACCTTGAGCAGACCGAAGCTGAGTATCTCATAACCGCTCTTTTATTTGAGTATCTGATCACCGTACTCGTTTATTCACGAGGCGACCCCAGGGTCTAGGTTTCCTAGGGGCGTGCTGTGAATAAACAGCGAAGAAGACGCCTGGTATCTGATACTGACCTGTTCCCACCGTCATCACTTTGAACATGGTCGGATCATGGTCGGATCAGGGGCGGAACATGGTCTGGAAATTCCCTAGGTGCCGCCGCCGCTGACCGCTGTTCGAGCACGGTCGGGTTTCTCGGGGTTAGTGCACCAGTAACCGCCGCTGCGCCTTTCATGGGGTGAAAAAACACTATCCGGTGGCAGGTTCTAAAAGAAAACTGTGTCTTGATTTGCCTACAAAACACCTAAAAGAAAACTGCGGTAGCCAACTCGAAGACCACCGCAGGGGCACCACCACACGCTCTTGCTTTGCCAACAACAAACCTACAACCCCTTTTGCCAGAGACATGCCCGTGCTGGCGATGGTTCTTTATCTCGTTGCCTGGAATCCGACGCCTCCAAAGGTGCACGGCTTGCACCAACACACAAAGTGCTCCATGCTCGCCGCCGACGAGAGCGACGAGGCGGTCACGCCCTCGACGACGACCGATTGGCGCGTGGAGCGGGCTCGGCTGACTCGCCAGCACTCACAGGCTGTGCTTCGTCGGCCGCGTAGATTTCTGCCGTACTCGGCAGCCAGCGAATGGGCTCAGCAGTTGGGATTGTCGACGCGGGAGGAGTGGGACGACTTGGCTTGAGCTTGGGGAGGGATGGTCCAGCTACGTGCCGAGGGAAACCCCGAGTCGCACTACACAAAGCTTGTGCCAGTGGCTCGGTGCGCATCGCCGCACTCTGCCTTCGCCTCGCCCTTTCTCATCCCACGTCGCTTGCGCCTTAGGCTGGCGCGCATGGCTAACGGGCGAGGCTTAGACCTTCGTGGCCGGGACCGTGTGCCGTTTTACCGGATCTCGCAAGATGTCGGACCTCCGCGTTAGCGCTGCACATAGCCATCCATGCGCCATGTACGCACAGGGTAGCTGGCGGTAGCTCCTTCACCACACACGCACGCGCGTGTCGCGCGATGCCGATGGCTTGGTTGGACGGTGTTATATAAGTGTTTAGTGTTCTATTCATGTTCATTTATTCGATAGATAGTTACAAGTTAGAGTCATACTCGCACAGACGATAGATACTGCATACACGGCTGCGGCTCCCTAGACCCTACAAGCTACAACTCTGGCTCTTTTTTTAGTCTTGACTCTTGTGTTCTTCGTCTTGGAGAAAGAAAACGGAAAAGAAGAGACCCCAGTTTCGCAGTCCCTGTCCGCAGTCGGTCTGTCGGTGTGAGAGCGCTTCGGGAGCCACGTCGCACGTGAGCCGTCTGCGTGCGTGGCCCGCGAGACGCGGCTCGACCAGGACTCAGCTTCACACCTCGACGCCCAAGTGCTCGCGCACGATCGCGGCCAGCGCATCCTCGTTGCCTGGCACGCCCTCGAGCCGGTGCACCTCCCTCCCCTCGGCGAAGAAGAGCAGCGTCGGCAGGCCGGCGACGCGCAGCTCCGAGGACAGGTCGGGCTCCGCGTCTGAGTCGAGCTTGCAGACCCGCGCCTGGAGCAGACACGAGTGAAGCTGCCGCCCGATGCGTGCCGGCTCGTGAGCTTGCTGGACTATAGAGGGGCTTGTGGTTCAGCACGAGGACCCCGCGTCTTGGCGCCAGACGTGGACCAACGGCGGGGTTCGCAATCTCGTCGAATCTCGGCTAGACCCGCACCTCGCAGCCGAGGCGCTGAGCGATGCGGGAGAGCATCGGAGCGATGAGCTTACACGGCCCGCACCACGTCGCGTACACGTCGACCTAATCAACACTCATCTCCCATCGTCGGCTGGTGTATGGGCTTGCGCGACACCGAGGCCGCCGACGCGTATACCAGCAATGGCGAGCGGCCATCCGCCATCTCTTGCCGTAGTTGCTCTGCGGTCACCTCGCCCACCTGAAGGTATCAGATCGCAGTTTCGGACCTGTCCGGCAGTGGCTTCGATGCGGCGGCCGCGCCAACCTGGCCGGGAGAGAGGCCGCCCGACGCGCTGAAGCCTGCGCTGGCGGCCACCAGGCCCGCCAGCCTCGCCGCGAGCTCCTAGCAAGGTTCCGGGCAGGTTCGAGGACGGTGCCAGAGCGCCGCCAGCCGCGCCGCAGCCCGCTCCTAGACAAGAAAGGGTGCCGGTCAGAGAACAAGAGAAGAGGCGCGAGGTGGCTCCCCAGCCGCGCAGCGCCTGCTTCTCGAGGCAGTCCGCCCACCCCACGTTGCGGGCCGCCAGCGCGCCGCGCAGCTCCTTGACCTTCATCTGCATCGCCTCGGCCAGCGCAGCGGCATACGCCGCCTCGGCCAGCCCCTCCTCGTCTGCAGCGGCGGGCGGCGGCGGCGCGGGCGGCGCGGGCGGCGCGGGTGGGGAGGAGGTGCCGCCGCCTCCGGAGGGCGACTGCGCAGCGTCCGACGGCGCGCCCTCCGCCGGGCTAAAGTGCGGCTTGGAGAAGGCGCGAGCGTTGAGGAGCTCGCTCACGAGCTTGTCCTTGTCGCCGTCGGCAATCGCAGCGCTGTCGGCCCCAAACGCGTCTAGCTCCTGCCGGATCGCGTCGACGGACATGGCGCGCACCGCTGCCGCCTCCGCCTCCGCCTGGGCGACTGCGTCGCCAAAGCCAGCGGCAGGGCTCGAAGGAGCTGCCGGCGGCGCCGCTGGTGGCGGCGCCTCGCGTGCGTCGACAAGCGCTCGCTCCAGGTCCTCACGCTCGAAGCACACGCCCCGCCACAACACGCTGCGCTCGTCCAGCTCTGCCTTGATGGCTGCGAGCCGCATTTCGGCAGGTGAAGGTTTGCTGCCGTCAAGCCGGAAGCCAGCAGTCCGCACAGCGGCGGTGCCGGTACGCAAGGGGCCGATGGTGTACGCGAGGGGCGTGGCAGCGGCCAACTGCAACATATCTGACTGTCCGCGAGCTCGAAAAAGAATTTAAAGAACACAACTCCGTCTCACAGCCTGTCAGATGTCACGATGCATCCGAAGGGGACCCCAGCGCCGGCATCATCCGTAGAGGCACGAGTGTTCGAAGAGAGAGTGGACCTGAGCAACAACATGACCTGCAGGCAAATGATCGGAGTGGGAGTCAGAAATGTGGTCCTTGCGCGAGGGGAGCTCGATAGACTCGAGGGGCCAGGATATGCAGCAAGGAGGGCGGAGCTGCGCCGAAAGGCGAAAGAAGCCGAGAGAACAAGGGAACGGCAGGCGGCGGCGGCGCAGGACGAGGCAGAAGAGAATGACGCGACAGAGGAGGAAGTGACAAGGGAGAGAACGACGAGAGTGGGACGGCCGCGAGGTGGCATGAAGGTTGCAGCGAGAATCGGCGAGAGACTGCGAAAAGAGATAGGAAGAGGCAGACTCCCTAGGGTGGGCGACGGCTAGCGCATCACACTCCTCTCCTTAAAATCCCTGTGTGGTGGCGGCGTGCCGTCCTCCCATCCCTCCCTTGGGTTGTCTGTTTTCTTTCTTTCTTTTAGCACACAGGCTCGACACAGGAAAAGAATTTTAGGTGGAACCGAAGCCCCAGTGTGTTCGATTGCCATACAGACATGGGTGCGAAACAACGACAAGACCAAGGCACGGGCAGAGGAACGAGAGAAGAATATAGGGTGGATAAAGCGCCTGTTCACGGCATGGAGGGTGAGCCACGCCGAACGCAAGGAAGCCGCGGGGAAGACGACCCCGCCCGAGGAGGACGAAACACCTGTGGCACCCGAAGGGGACCCCAGCGCCAGCATCATCCGTGGTGGCACAAGTGTTCGAAGAGAGAGTGGACCTGAGCAATGATACTCGTCGCCCTGAATGGTTGCCCAGGTTACTCAGGACACCATCCCGGCGTGAACACGACGAACTGCCCTTCTCCGATGCACGCGCGGCACGCGCCACGGCGCGGCACGTGCCGCCGTCTTTGTTTGAAGTAAAAAGTCGAATCAGAGCGGTGTCGGCGTTGTCCTGAGTTTTCTCCTTCGGACCGCCCAACCGGGACCGCTCCGGGACGCACGCCGGCGAAGCACCATCAAGCTGCTGTACGGCCGCGGTATCGCCTCCCCTGGCTTAGCTAGACTGAGATATATTGTGCACAAGGTTGGCCTCTACAATATATACACTGACACTCTACCTCCCAGAGCTCGTCCCGGTCCGCCACGGCCATCCTTGGCCTCCGGAGGGCCCCCGGCCGCGGCGCGGTGCGGCGGCGTCACAAATCCGACCACAGAGCACCGGGACGCGGTCGGGCGATCTGAGGTCCAACTAGGCGTATGCATTGCCCATCCATGGCTATCACCTGGACCCATCAACAGGCGCCTGCGGCGCCGTGGTCACGAGGTGTTGTTCACACCTGGGCAAGCATTCATGCAGCACAGTATGACTTGGCGGCAAATGATCGCAGTGGGCGTCAGAAGACTCGTCCTTGCTCGAGGAGAGCTCGATAGACTCGAGGGGCCAAGATATGCTGCGAGGAGGGCGGAGCTGCGCCGAAAGGCAAAAGAAGCCGCGAGAACAAGGGACCGGCAGGCGGCGGCGGCGTCGCAGAACGAGGCAGAGGAGAGCGATGCGACAGAGGAAGAAGCGACAGGGGAGAGAACGACGAAGAGTGGGACGACCGCGAGGTGGCATGAAGGTTGCAGCGAGAATCGGCGAGAGACTGCGAAGAGAGATAGGAAGAGGCGGACGCCCAAGGGTGGGCGACGGCTAGCGCATCACACCCCTCTCCTTAAAATCCCTGTGTGGTGGCGGCGTGCCGTCCTCCCATCCCTCCCTTGGGTTGTCCGTTTTCTTTCTTTCTTTCCCCAGTGTGTTTTGGTTGCCTCCGTGCTTTCACACTTCGCCTTATCGTGTCCGTCCGCTGTGATTGCGTCCGCCCACGACTACGTCTCTCCCCTTCTGGTGTCGACCGCGCCCCTCCGCGGGGCCTCGGCCGAACGGGAACAAGAGATGTATGTAAACAAACATGAACTCCCAGAAAGTTGGTCATGCCACGACAGCCCACTCCAAATGCAACGACGCTGATGAACCCTGTCACCTGGCTGACGGTGGAAATGGGCAACAGCACGTTCAGGCCATTCGTCACTTCCAACGTGTCCTACAAGTGGTGCACTGAGATGCAGATGGAGCTGTTTGAGATTCGAGTCATGGAGCAGGTATTGCGAGCGCGTGGTCGGCCAAGGAGCAAGGTGCCTTGCTGTCGATGTTGGGGTGAATGACGGCTTCTACACAATGCTTCTCGGGGCCGCCGGCTGCCACGTGCACGCCTTTCCCTTTGATGTGCAAGACGTGTGCAACGATATTGCACGCGAGACAGTCCCGACACCGCAACGCCGCCTTTGCTGCCAACATCGAAATTAAACGCTGGGTGCGGCGTGAGGGTCGGGAAGGGGCCGCCGGGAGTCGCGGCCACCAGCGGCGACACGACTGTTGGCTCACCGAAGCCGCCCACTTCGCGCTCGTCCGTCAGCGAGTCGACTGCGAGTCGACCAGCGCCGCGACGTTCAGCCCGTGCGAGTCGCCGTCTCCGAGCGAAGGGTTCGCCCACGACCACTCTCCGTCCTCCTCTGGCGTCTGATCATTTGCGACGGTGTATCAGTCGCCTTATGCCACCGTTGCATATCCCTGTGACGGCGGAGTTGGTCGTAGCGGCGTGGCTGAGGGCGGCGCGGAGAGCACCCCGCTCTCCTCGTGCAGCCTCGGGCTGTCCCGTCCATAGGCGTGCCGCAGGTAGAAGGTCGACAGCACCCCTATGCGGGCCGCCGTCTCCACCGAGTCGGCTCTGGGCCCCCGAGGACCCCTCGGCTTGCCCTTGTCGGAGCGTGGCTTCCTCTTGCTGGTGGCCTCGAGCTGCGCCGCTTCGGCTAGGATCCCCTTCTTCAGCAGATCGCCGTGACAGGACTCAATCCTACCCGCGCACAGGAGAACAAGATCCGTGCCGTCTCGAACCTTCTGTGCCAGTTCGCGAAGCGCCGCCGACCGTGTCCTCCAGAGTCGATCGGCCTTGTCGTCCAGGAACGCGTCGGCGGTCTCAAGGACGCGACCCTTCCTGGAGCGCATCTCCCTCGCCGGCAGGTTTTGCTATGGATGCCTTCTTTTGGCGTGGGGATGCAACCCGCCTCCTGTCCAAAGCCCTACGGCAACTGACACAGAAGAGCTTGTGCACTCGCGCCCGGACTTGCAATAGCCTGAAGCCTCCAGAACCGGCGGGTCTTCGCTTTTCGGGTCAGTCGGCATGCGGGTCGGCAAGCTTGCAAGCGGGGCTCATGCAGGACTTGGCGGCCACACTGCAGCCGCCCTCGTCCCCCCCGGGCGTAAGAACTGACGAATCGCTGATTAGCAGCTAGTTAGAGGCACCTCCTCGAAGGTCCAACCGCGAGTCTCCTCGAGGCGACCGCGCTGGTGCTGCCGGGGGCCGTTAGCACGGGAGACGGTCTCATTGGACGGTTGTGATGCAGCCGGCAGTGTGCCGGTGTGTCACTCGTGATAGGCCTACTGAAGAGCGGGCCGATACGGCGATAGACCGCGGTATTTGTGAGTGGAAGAGCCCGGGCGGCGGGGTGCGTACGGGTGTTCTCCTTGTGTGAGTTGTGTGACCGCCCCGCCCGCGCCCCCCCGGCCCCCGCGCGGGGGGAGCTCTTGTGACGTGTGAGCTGTAGCCGTGTACACAGCCGGGGGCCGACACGCACACGGGGACCATGTATGTAGTAAGTACGAGGTCAAGCATACAGCATGTTGTGCGGCTCAAAACACAAAATAGAACACTTTATATCGTTTTCTCTCACGTTACCACCACTTCAGCCACTCTATCAGCCCCTCAATCTGCCGCCATGTTGCGTGCAGTGTGGATAGCGGCGGCGGCGGCGGCGGCGATGGAGGAGGTGGTGAGGGCGGCGGAGGTGGCGGCGGGGACGGCGGCGGCGGAGATGGCGGGGGCGGGGGTGGCGGGGATGGGGGCGGTGCAGACGGCGGCGGCGGAGACGGCGACGGCGAGGGCGGCGAGGGCGGAGGAAATGGTGGTGCGGCGGGTGGCGTGCTGTGCAGTAGCGCGGCGAGAGGGTGGCCGCGCCGCTCTGAGGTGTCCGAGCCATCAAACGCCTGGTATAGCCCCGCAGCAGCCAGCGACCCGGCGCCGGTGGCGAGAAGTAGGATCAGTGCCGCCCGCCAAGACCTGGCCGGCGGCGGCGGCGAAGTCGGGAGCCCTCGGCCTCGTCGCGAGCCGACCGGGCTGTCCCCCTCCAACGCAGCGGCCTCGGCGAGGTTGAGCCAGTGCTGTTGCACCGCCACCGTCTCAGCGAGCGGGGCGTAGCCGCAGTAGCGATGCAACAACGCCATCAGGCGCCCCTGGATGCCTTTGGGGGGGGAGTCGGCGGCGCGAGGCACCGGCAGCACCAGCCGCGCCCGATCAGCCCTCGCCCTGGCGATCCGATCCTTTACGTCCGGGTCGGACGGCAGGATTGCGGCGGTGGCCCTCCTGGCGCGGGCGACACGCGATGCAACGAGGACACCAGAGGAGCTCTCTTCCTTGGTGAGGAGCGGCGCCACTTGCGTCCTCGGTGTCAGCTGCTGCGTGTACGCCCGCGGAGAGGCGCTGGGAGCGACAGCCACCCCGCTGCTCTCCACCTCGTCGTCCTCGTCGTCGATGCTCACACCGTACCGCGCGTGGCCGTGAGACTTGCGCGCGGGAGCAGCGGAGGTGCTGGCAGCAGCTGGGCGCCGTACTGGAGAGGTGCTGGCCCGGGCAGCAGCTGGGCGCCGGACTGGAGGCGCTGTGCCGCCCGACTCCTCGTCCTCTGAGCTGTCCTCTATCCGCGCATGCCGCGGGGACAGGAGCTTCTGCTGGATGCGGACGACCCTGCCCGGCATCACTCCGGCAAGGGGCGGCGGTGGGGCCGACAGAGGTGGGGACGGCGACGGCGGCGGCCACGAGGGCTGGCGGCCGCGAAAGCGCGGCGTGGGAGGTTGGTGCTCCTGCTGCTGCGCTGGCATTGCGCGAGCGCCAACGGAGAAGCGTGCTGCTGCTGCGCAAACACGCGAAGAGCCTTCCTTCCCCGCCTTGCCACGTTCACGACCACCCGGGCGTTTCATGACGGAAAATTCCTGACTCCCCAGGTGTGTACTCTTTTTGCTTGGGGCGGACAGCATGCCGGGGTAGGTAGGGTAGGTCTGGGCGCCTCCTTTAGGGTTTTCCCTCTCTTCACGCCGGAATTTTCAAAAAAAGAAATTTTCGGCGAAAATCACGACGTCAACCCTCCCCAAGTGCCGTCCTCCCATCCCTCCCTTGGGTTGTCTGTTTTCTTTCTTTCTTTCTTTACCCTCCCCAAGTGGGTGATCTGGTGCTTGTAGGGCTTGATAGTGGCCTGCCATGTCACAGGAAGGACTGTGATTGCAGGAGAGTACCACCAGCCATAACTTTAGTTGGTATAGTACCCCACCTTCACCCATACCGTGATTTCTTTTTTAATTTCCCATAAGTAGGGTAGGTAGGTAGGTAGGTAGGTAGGGGCACCGCAGGGGCCGGTCAGGTTTTTCCAGAATTTCAGCATGCTGTGGGAGTCCGCCCCAAGCAAAAAGAGTACACACCTGGACGCCCTGGATTGTTCTGTCGAGTGCTTGGTCGGGAGCCCGCCGGGCCGGCTGAGGCTGTGTGTCCGTCTGCTGTGGACCCAGTGATGGCCTAGGAGCCCTTCACGGACGGTTTTCATGCTAACACCTAGGGACCGCGTGGGGTGGGCGGCGAACCGCGCATCGGCCGACAATGTGCCGGTGTACGCGCGTTTCGCTATAAGGAAACTCTCAGGGCCCGTTTTGCAGGACCTGAGTCGCGCGAGGGTTGCCCGCCCCCTTGCCCCACCATCTTGTGTGTGTGGAGAAGCTTACCTTGCCTTTCATGCGTACATGCAACATTTGCCTCCGCACCCTGAGCTCTCTACATGAACGCGAACTGCCCAAATGAGCGCTCCTGCCCATCGCGTCGGGGTACGTAACGTTCCTACGTAGGGCGAAGCCACAGTTTCCGGCACAGCGTCCGGCGTTATCCACCTACGACACCCGAGACTGGTCAGTGGTGCAATGAGAGCGTGACAGGGGGCACAGCAGGCGCAGCACCTGCGACAGATGCTCTGCAACATCCGGCAGCGAGGGGAAGCTGCCGCGAGGGCTGGTGGGGCCCCACCCCGCCACGAACCACTGCGGGGCGAAGCGCACACTGCCGGCGGCCACGGTGTCCCGCGTCGTCGTTGAGATTGAGCGCCATCGCGAGAGGCACCACTCGGGCATCTGCTTGTAGATCAGTTCTTTGATTTTGGGCGGCAGCGCGACGAACTCCGAGTGCGACCGCACAGACAGCTGCGCCATTTCTCCGCCGGAAGCCTGCACTGTGGCGTCGGGCTCGCCGGAGCGCGGCCTGCGGACACGTGGCACGACAAACGCAGATACCGACAGCAAAGCGAGCCAGCCCGTACTGGTCGGGGCCCATGGCAGTTGACTCTCAGCCCGAAAGCGCCAAACTCGGGTGTACAAGTTTGCAGGGCGGATACTCGTACTCGTAGCTCGCGGTTTTAGACAGAATATTTCTTAAACTTGAAAATATCCTGTTTATCGGCGAACTAGTTTCACTCGGATTCACTCCTATGCACCTTCGGTGAGGGTACATTGGCGCGTAAAAGGAGAGTCACGGAATCGCGCGCGCCTCCACCAGGAAGGGCTACGCAGTATCCCTGACATCCCAACGCGCAGTGGAGGAGGAGCGAGGGCAGGTGGCCCGGAAAGCCCAATGAACCCCACAGAAGGGGCAACTGGCCGTGGCATGGAGCCACAGAGGCGACAGCCAAATCACGAGAGGGGTGAGGCCGGTCGCCGAGCGTCCAGAGGCCGCCGGGAATCGAGCCACCACCGTCAAGGCGGCGAGGGAGAAAGCACCACCCCACACCGCCGTCGAGGCGGCGAGGGAGAAGCCTAGAGAGAGGCGGAGGCAGGAGCCGAGAGCCGGCCACCACTCCGCGCCGCCGTCGAGGCGGCGACGGAGAAGCCTTGAGAGAGGCGGAGGCGGCAGCCGAGAGCCGACCGTCACTCCGCGCCGCCGTCGAGGCGGCGAGGGAGAAGCCTAGAGAGAGGCGGAGGCGGCAGCCGAGAGCCGACCGTTACTCTGCTCCGCCATCGAGGCGGCGAGGGAGAAGCCTAGAGAGAGGCGGACGCGCCGCCGTCGAGGCGGCGAGGGAGAAGCATAGAGAGCGGCGGAGGCGGCAGCTGAGAGCCGACCGTCACTCCACGCCGCCGTCGAGGAGGCGAGGGAGAAGCCTAGAATGAGGCGGAGGCGGCAGCCGAGAGCCGACCACCACTCCGCGCCGCCGTCGAGGCGGCGAGGGAGAAGCCTAGAGAGAGGCGGAGGCACGGCCGAGAGCCGGCCACCACTCCGCGCCGCCGTCGAGGCGGCGAGGGAGAAGCCTAGAAGGAGGCGGAGGCGGCAGCCGAGAGCCGACCACCACTCCGCGCCGCCGTCGAGGCGGCGAGGGAGAAGCCTAGAGAGAGGCGGGGGCGGCAGCCGAGAGCCGACCGTCACTCCACGCCGCCGTCGAGGCGGCGAGGGAGAAGCCTAGAATGAGGCGGAGGCGGCAGCCGAGAGCCGACCACCACTCCGCGCCGCCGTCGAGGCGGCGAGGGAGAAGCCTAGAGAGCGGCGGAGGCGGCAGCCGAGAGCCGACCACCACTCCGCGCCGCCGACGAGGCGGCGAGGGAGAAGCCTAGAGAGAGGCGGAGGCGGCAGCCGAGAGCCGACCACCACTCCACGCCGCCGTCGAGGCGGCGAGGGAGAAGCCTAGAATGAGGCGGAGGCGGCGGCCGAGAGCCGACCACCACTCCGCGCCGCCGTCGAGGCGGCGAGGGAGAAGCCTAGAGAGAGGCGGAGGCGGCAGCCGAGAGCCGACCGTCACTCCACGCCGCCGTCGAGGCGGCGAGGGAGAAGCCTAGAATGAGGCGGAGGCGGCAGCCGAGAGCCGACCACCACTCCGCGCCGCCGTCGAGGCGGCGAGGGAGAAGCCTAGAGAGAGGCGGAGGCGGCAGCCGAGAGCCGACCGTCACTCCACGCCGCCGTCGAGGCGGCGAGGGAGAAGCCTAGAAGGAGGCGGAGGCGGCATCCGAGAGCCGACCACCACTCCGCGCCGCCGTCGAGGCGGCGAGGGAGAAGCCTAGAGAGCGGCGGAGGCGGCAGCCGAGAGCCGACCGTCACTCCGCGCCGCCGTCGAGGCGGCGAGGGAGAAGCCTAGACAGAGGCGGAGGCGGCGGCCGAGAGCCGACCACCACTCCGCGCCGCCGTCGAGGCGGCGAGGGAGAAGCCTAGAGAGAGGCGGAGGCGGCAGCCGAGAGCCGACCACCACTCCGCGCCGCCGTCGAGGCGGCGAGGGAGAAGCCTAGAGAGAGGCGGAGGCACGGCCGAGAGCCGACCACCACTCCGCGCCGCCGTCGAGGCGGCGAGGGAGAAGCCTAGAGAGAGGCGGAGGCGGCAGCCGAGAGCCGTCCACCACTCCGCGCCGCCGTCGAGGCGGCGAGGGAGAAGCCTAGAGAGAGGCGGAGGCGGCAGCCGAGAGCCGTCCACCACTCCGTGCCGCCGTCGAGGCGGCGAGGGAGAAGCCTAGAAGGAGGCGGAGGCGGCGGCCGAGAGCCGACCGTCACTCCGCGCCGCCGTCGAGGCGGCGAGGGAGAAGCCTAGAGAGAGGCGGAGGCGGCAGCCGAGAGCCGACCACCACTCCGTGCCGCCGTCGAGGCGGCGAAGGAGAAGCCTAGAAGGAGGCGGAGGCGGCGGCCGAGAGCCGACCACCACTCCGCGCCGCCGTCGAGGCGGCGAGGGAGAAGCCTAGAGAGCGGCGGAGGCGGCAGCCCAGAGCCGTCCACCACTCCGCGCCGCCGTCGAAGCGGCGAGGGAGAAGCCCGAGGGAGAAGCCCAGAGAGAGGCGGAGGCGGCGGCCGAGAGCTGACCGTCACTCCGTGCCGCCGTCGAGGCGGCGAGGGAGAAGCCTAGAGAGAGGCGGAGGCGGCGGCCGAGAGCCGACCACCACTCCGCGCCGCCGTCGAGGCGGCGAGGGAGAAGCCTAGAGAGAGGCGGAGGCGGCGGCCGAGAGCCGGCCACCACTCCGCGCCGCCGTCGAGGCGGCGAGGGAGAAGCCTAGAGAGAGGCGGAGGCGGCAGCCGAGAGCCGACCGTCACTCCGCGCCGCCGTCGAGGCGGCGAGGGAGAAGCCTAGAGAGAGGCGGAGGCGGCGGCCGAGAGCCGACCGTCACTCCGTGCCGCCGTCGAGGCGGAGAGGGAGAAGCCTAGAAGGAGGCAAAGGTCCGACCGAGAGCCGGCTACCACTCCGCGCCGCCGTCGAGGCGGCGAGGGAGAAGCCTAGAGAGAGGCGGAGGCGGCGGCTGAGAGCCGACAGTCACTCCACGCCGCCGTCGAGGCGGCGAGGGGGGAAGCCCAGAGACGAGGCTCGGGTAGAAGAAGAGCAAGGCGAGGCTCACTCGAGAGGGAAGGCAGCAGTGACAGCTGGCCGCCCGCCACGCCGCTCACGAGGAGGCACACGAGACGAGACTCGAGCAGAAGAGGAGCGAGGCGAGGCTCACTCGCCACGCCGCCCACGAGGCGGCACACGAGACGAGGCTCGAGTAGAAGAGGAGCGAGGCGAGGCTCACTCGAGAGGGAAGGCAGCAGTGACAGCTGGCCGCCCGCCACGCCGCTCACGAGGAGGCACACGAGACGAGACTCGAGCAGAAGAGGAGCGAGGCGAGGCTCACTCGCCATGTCGCCCACGAGGCGGCACACGAGACGAGGCTCGAGTAGAAGAGGAGCGAGGCGAGGCTCACTCGAGAGGGAAGGCAGCAGTGACAGCTGGCCGCCCGCCACGCCGCCCACGAGGCGGCACACGAGACGAGGCTGAGTAGAAGAGGAGCGAGGCGAGGCTCACTCGCCATGTCGCCCACGAGGCGGCACACGAGACGAGGCTCGAGTAGAAGAGGAGCGAGGCGAGGCTCACTCGAGAGGGAAGGCAGCAGTGACAGCTGGCCGCCCGCCACGCCGCCCACGAGGCGGCACACGAGACGAGACTCGAGTAGAAGAGGAGCGAGGCGAGGCTCACTCGCCATGTCGCCCACGAGGCGGCACACGAGACGAGGCTCGAGTAGAAGAGGAGCGAGGCGAGGCTCACTCGAGAGGGAATGCAGCAGTGACAGCTGGCCGCCCGCCACGCCGCCCACGAGGCGGCACACGAGACGAGGCTCGAGTAGAAGAGGAGCGAGCTGAGGCTCACTCGCCATGTCGCCCACGAGGCGGCACACGAGACGAGGCTCGAGTAGAAGAGGAGCGAGGCGAGGCTCACTCGAGAGGGAAGGCAGCAGTGACAGCTGGCCGCCCGCCACGCCGCCCACGAGGCGGCACACGAGACGAGGCTCGAGTAGAAGAGGAGCGAGGCGAGGCTCACTCGAGAGGGAAGGCAGCAGTGACAGCTGGCCGCCCGCCACGCCGCCGCCCACGAGGCGGCACACGAGACGATGCTCGAGTAGAAGAGGAGCGAGGCGAGGCTCACTCGAGAGGGAAGGCAGCAGTGACAGCTGGCCGCCCGCCACGCCGCCCACGAGGCGGCACACGAGACGAGGCTCGAGTAGAAGAGGAGCGAGGCGAGGCTCACTCGAGAGGGAAGGCAGCAGTGACAGCTGGCCGCCCGCCACGCCGCCCACGAGGCGGCACACGAGACGAGACTCGAGTAGAAGAGGAGCGAGGCGAGGCTCACTCGCCATGTCGCCCACGAGGAGGCACACGAGACGAGGCTCGAGTAGAGGAGGAGCGAGGCGAGGCTCACTCGAGAGGGAAGGCAGCAGTGACAGCTGGCCGCCCGCCACGCCGCCCACGAGGCGGCACACGAGACGAGGCTCGAGTAGAAGAGGAGCAAGCTGAGGCTCACTCGCCATGTCGCCCACGAGGCGGCACACGAGACGAGGCTCGAGTAGAAGAGGAGCGAGGCGAGGCTCACTCGAGAGGGAAGGCAGCAGTGACAGCTGGCCGCCCGCCACGCCGCCCACGAGGCGGCACACGAGACGAGGCTCGAGTAGAAGAGGAGCGAGGCGAGGCTCACTCGAGAGGGAAGGCAGCAGTGACAGCTGGCCGCCCGCCACGCCGCCCACGAGGCGGCACACGAGACGAGGCTCGAGTAGAAGAGGAGCGAGCTGAGGCTCACTCGCCATGTCGCCCACGAGGCGGCACACGAGACGAGGCTCGAGTAGAAGAGGAGCGAGGCGAGGCTCACTCGAGAGGGAAGGCAGCAGTGACAGCTGGCCGCCCGCCACGCCGCCCACGAGGAGGCACACGAGACGAGGCTCGAGTAGAAGAGGAGCGAGGCGAGGCTTACTCGAGAGGGAAGGCAGCAGTGACAGCTGGCCGCCCGCCACGCCGCCCACGAGGAGGCACACGAGACGAGGCTCGAGTAGAAGAGGAGCGAGGCGAGGCTCACTCGAGAGGGAAGGCAGCAGTGACAGCTGGCCGCCCGCCACGCCGCCCACGAGGAGGCACACGAGACGAGGCTCGAGTAGAAGAGGAGCGAGGCGAGGCTCACTCGAGAGGGAAGGCAGCAGTGACAGCTGGCCGCCCGCCACGCCGCCCACGAGGCGGCACTGGGGTGCTGCCTGGAGAGGAGATATCCCAGAGCCACCTGAGCGCAGAGCTCAGCCACATCTGCAGCACGAGGCCGGAGAGAAGAGAGACGCACGCCACGAGTTGAGATGCAACAGCATTCCTCAGAGCGGGCTGTGGAGCCACCGACTCAGGTCTCCAGGTGGACGAGGCCGCTGTGGCAGGGCCGAGGCGACCGCAGAGCATCGCAGGCAAGCAGATGAGGCCATCGCCCATCGTGCACTGCTGCCAAGGACAGTCGCCAGCAACAGCAACAATGGCGCAGACGCACACAGATCCTGCACGGAGAAGAAAGAACTGGTGCAGCCGAAGGGCTGGCGCAGTAGGAAGGAGAGCCTGGCGCGGCCAAGGACGAGGAGCGGCGTCATGGCCAGGTGAGCAGGAGAGAGCAGCGGAAGCCGCGCTCATCAGAGCAGCGAGCGGGCGGGAGCGCCCGACACGCACGGAAGTTCAAACTTCCGTAAAAGATGAAGTAAAAGATGTCCACGGAGAGTCCGTGAAGGACGCAGAGGCAGAAGAAGAGGTAGGAGAGGAGAGGATCTCCGTGAGTCTCCTGCGGGAAACTAGTGGCCTATCACGAGTTAGGGCCCCTACCCCAATCGTTATCGGCGAAGGGCGCGTTTCCTCTGCCTTCGTGAGAACACGCCGGTCTTCGATTTCGATGCTGCCCGGCCTTGCTCGTCCTTGCTTCGGGGCGGCGCCGCGGCAGTCGCTGCGGCGAGCGGCTCGTGCGACACGCCTCCTATCAGCCTCTCGCGATCGGCATCTCAGCGTGGCCGCGCCCGCCGACTTGGCGCACGTCGCTGCGGCCGCCACCACTTCGGCAGCGGCGTCGTCGAGCTCGTTTGACATCGACCAGCTCGCGCGGCAGCCGATGACCTCGCTTTCGCTCAACGACCTCTACCGCGTCGCGAGCTCTCCGACCGACGAGCAGAACCTGCTCAACGCGCAGTTTGTGAGGCGCGAGCTGCCCATCCGGTATGCTCATCGGTGCGCGCAGCTGCGCAACCTGCCCTTCGGCCTCGCTGCGGACGAGCGGATCGAGCATGCGGCGCGCACGTACGAGCAGCAGGCGGAGGCGTTGTTCCTCCACCCCAAGCCAGTCGACGCCAGCAGCAAGCGGTCATTTGACTCGCTGCTCCGCTCGTCGCAGCCAAAGCTCCTCGAGGTGCTGGAGACCTTCCACGTGGCGTGCGGGACATGTCCGTGACACGTCCGTGACACCTACAGGTGCCGGAGCATATTGGCACGGCGCTGGCGGCGCGGCTCCACGCGGAGGGCGGCGAGGCCGACGCAGACGCAGACGGCGCGCACGCAGCGTCCATGACACGTCCGTGACACGGGCATGGCATGTCCAGGCCGACGCCGATGCCGACCGCACGCAGCAGCGAGTCATCGACACGCACCTGGACGAGTTCTTCCTCGCTCGAATCGGCCAGGTGCTCCTCCTCCTGGTTAAACGTCCAGACACGTCCGACGCCTCCCGGCCGCCTCCTCGGCATCTTCCCATCGTCCACTGGCGCGCCCCTCCCCTCCTCCCGCCGCCAGCGCTTCTTGATCGAGCACTACCTCGCATCGTCTGGCTCGAGCGGCGCGGAGCAGCGGCCCGGCTTCTCGGGCATCATCCAGTCGCGCTGCTCGCCGTTCGAGGTTGTCGAGCAGGCGGAGGCAGATCTGGGGGAGATATGGGGGAGATATGGGTTCGAGGTTGTCGAGCAGGCGGAGGCAGATCTGGGGGAGATATGGGGGAGATATGGGTTCGAGGTTGTCGAGCAGGCGGAGGCCTCTCTCCGTAGTCTGCCTAGACTGACACGCCCCTCCTCCTTGCGAGAAGCCTACACTGAGGAGTGCGCTGTCTCATGCTCCGCCTCTGGCAGGCGGCGGCCGAGACTTTCCTTCTCTGCAGCGCGCGGCTGGGTGTCTGCCCGCAGATTGAGGTTCGGGGCGACCGCGATGCGTCGTTTACGTGCGCGCGCAGCCAGAGGAAACGCCTCGAGGCTGTCGAGCTCTTCACACCTCAAGCTGTGAACAGGTACGTGCCGAAGCACATCTTCTTCGTCGCGAGCGAGCTCCTCAAGAACGCGGCCGCGGCGACAGTCGACTTCCACGCCTCGCGCGGCGGCGGCGGCGGCTTACCCCCCGTCCGGATCGTCGTCGCGTGCGGCGAGAACGAGATGGCGATCAAGGTAGCGGATGAGGGCGGAGGCATCGCGCGCTCGCGGCTGGCCGAGGTGTGGTCGTACCGCGGGGCGCGGCTGGCGGGCGGGTTCGGGCTGGCGGCGAGGAGCGACGCGGACGAGCTGGTGCGCTCGCCCGAGGCGTCGGCCGGGCTCGGGCTTCCCCTGGCGCGGCTGCACTGCAAGTTCTTCGGCGGCTCGCTCCACCTCACGCCGATGGAGGGGTACGGCACCGACTCGTACGCCAAGCTCAACCGGCTCGGCGACGACAACTGCGAGGACCTGCCCCAGGCGGTGCGGGAGAGCTACGGCATGGAGGCTGCGGAGCCCTCGGCAGCTGTCAATCAGTGGTACGCGCGGCGCGGGCTGCAGGTGGGAGACTTGCTCTATGACGCGCAGGCGCGGCGCGGCTGAGGAGGAGGGCGGCGGCAGAAGGCGGGGGCGGAAGGCGGCGGAGGAGGCGGCGGAGAGAAGGCCGTGGTTTAGGAGTAGGGGGGGCGGGGGATGTGGGATGGACACACGCAATTCGAGGCCTTTCGCTTTCCTCCTGCATGCGTGAGTCTCGAGTCCGAGGGAGACGCTGAGAGAGAGTTGACGCGGCTGGAGAGACGCGTGTGCCGCGTGTGTGCGCGCTCTCTTTCTCTCCTGCTGTGAGACGCACCGTGCCATGTGTCGCGACACGCATGTGAGGCATGCTGATGAGTGATGACTTGATGTCATCACTAGCCGAGCCAAGGCCGGCGAGGGGTCGTTTAGCGTGACAGATAAGTCATACAAGTAGAACTTCAAGTTGCCAACTTCGTCGACCGTCGTCGTCACGTGTCACGTCGTCAAACGTGCACGTCGTGTGACTCGTGTACGCACGGTACGCGAGACATTAAAACTAAGGGGCAGAGGCACTCCGCCACATCACCACTACCCGCGCTCTAGAAGAGCGCAAGAGGCGGGCGGGGCGTGGGGGGGCGCGGGGTCCGCGCGGGAATCCGGGGGCGAAGTCGGGGGGGCGGGGGACAGACACGATACACGTACGACGTGTCGCGCCGACTCTTGGAACACACGGCACACAGACCGACCGCGTCTCACAGTCTACCGACAATCGACAATGTGTACAATCTTGACCCGCAGCCGCGCTTTGAGGCAGGGCGCAGGCTCACCGGGAGACCTGCTTAAGCCAAGTGCGGGGCGGTCTGAGCAGGCGTGAGGGCTTGGTGAGGGCAAGGCCTGAGCTCTCAACAGGATTGGGCCATACGACAGCTCCTGCCGGTGTTCAGTGGGCATGCCACAGAGCGCGAACACACTTCCCTACCATGCCCGCACCGCGGTGCAGCCACCGGCCAGCGACCTGGGCGGCGGCCTTCAAGGGTGGCTGCTCTGCGATGACCCTCCTGGACTCAGAGCCCTCCTCCGCGTACTCCTTGGCGAGAGCGAGCAGGGTGGCTTTGTGCTCGAAGCGCGCGGCCAGCACGAGCGGAGTATCACCCGCCGTTGTCCTCTGCGTGAGGTTAGCACCACCCCGCAGGAGCTGCGTGACGAGTTGAGAGTGGCCTCTCTCCGCAGCAACGTGCAGCGGCGAATGGCCAGTCCAAGAAGGGACGTCAATATCCGCGCCGTGCTCGATGAGGGTGGATAGGACGGCGCGCCCGTTGCTGCTCGCGGCGGCGTAGTGAACCGCCGTCCAACCATGCGTCAGCTCCTGGATATTGAGGTGTGACCGAGGGATCGCGTTGGCGATTGTCGCGGTGGTCCTGACATCGCCGAGCTCTGCGGCTCGCATCAGTGCCGTCTTTCCCACCCCGTCGTCGCACGAGGCCGGTGACGCGGCCGAGGAGAGCAACAGTGAGGATAGAAAGGTGGCCATTGGCGGAGGGTCGTTGAACAGCGGCGTCGACGAGCGAGTGGTGACTGGGGGAGACCGGTGACCGCTGAAAGGACGGATGCGACTGAAACGAGGCGACTCCCCCCCCCCCCCCCCCCCAGTCTTTCCTTTTCCAGTGTAATGTAGCTCTTACGAACATACCCGAGGGTGAACTGCTGACAGGGTTTGCGATGAGAAGCGATCCGAACGTGGCATTCGGGTGATTAGCTTTAAGACACAGAGCTCTCACAAAATTGCTTGGGCTGTAGCAGGTTTGCCTCTCGCACCCCGTCTGTTTTCCTTTCCCTTTTTCTCTACACCCCCTCTCTTTTCCTCTCTATTTTCCCGGGAAAACTCCGTGGAAATCGTCAAATTTTGGGGCGCTGAGCCGAGTCTGACTGAGGCTGGTTTGGGCCCAAAATCAGCCAAATTTTAGGCCAAATCGGAAAAATGCCGGGAATTTTGCGGAGAACCCGTGTATACCTGGAATTTACCCTGGCCCTGCGACCGCCTGGGTATTTTGTCGATTTCCTCAATTTTGCCTCAGATTTTGCCCCAGACCAGCTCTCAGACTCAAGACTCACGGTACAGGGTCAGGGAAACTCGCGAGTTTCCAGAATGGAGCACCAAACACCCTCTGAGCTCTGTTTTCCCTCGAAATTTCCGGAAACGCAAAGTGCTGGGGACCCTCTGTTCCTTTTTGTTTGCCGGAAACCTGCTACATCCCAAAAATCACAGCGGGAGGATTTGTGTTCTG